TGTAATCCAGTTTCTCTGACTATTTGTTTAGCAAACAGATTGAATAAGTATGGTGACTGAATACTGATCCACACCTTTCCCGATTTTAAACCATGCAGTATATCCTGGGTTCTATTCATACAACTACCTATTGATCCAAGTTCAGGTTCCACATGAGCACAATTAGGTGTGCTGGAATTCCCATTATTTTCAAAGCTATCCATAGTTTGTTATGATCCACACAGTCAAATACCTTTGCTTAATCAATATATAACACAAGTAAACTTCTTTCTGGTATTCTCTACTTTTAGCACTATGTGGACGTCATAATAATCATTCAGTGAATGTTTGCTGATTGAAGACAGATCCCGTCACAAGATATAATCACCTCAATACTCGACTAATAGAAAACAATAGGAGTGAGAATAAGAAATAGATATGACAAAATAATAATTTATAAATTATCAAGAGTTCATGAGGAAGTGGGGAGTGGGGAGGGAGGGGGAAAAAAAGAGGACCTGATGCCAGGGGCTAGAGTGGAGAGCAAATGTTTTGAGAATGACGAGGGCAATGAATGTACAAATGTGCATTACACAATTGATGGTATGTATGGATTGTGATAAAAGTTGTATGAGCCCCTAATAAAATGATTAAAAAAAACTGAAAAGCTACCAATTAAATAATATAAAAGTATGTAAAATATTCAAAAAACATACAAAACCAAGCAATACAATCTTTAAATTAAAAAAATTTAAAAACCAGGAATAATCCATTCTACAGGCACATATATAACACACCAATGAATTTGGGCTTTGAAATTTTGGGTGAGTGAATGTTATACTTCTATTTACTCATTTTTCTATGAATTTTTGTATTTTGGTTGGAATCTGAGGCCTATAGGGGGGGAAAAATGTCTTAAGAGCAAGAAACAGGCTTTCAAACTCTTTCGGCGGTTCTTAAAACCCCTCGGGCAGTATAATGCATAGATGTTGAAGTGGCCGCGTCTGAAACACAGAAACAGCAAGGAGAGTTCTTCGGTTTCTGAATTCTCAGGCTCTGATAAAGAATAACTTTCATGTTTTAGGGGGAAAAACATTCTGGAATCTAAATGCTCTCTGCCTTGTTATTGTGGCAACTATGAAGAAGAACTGAGGGATTTCTTTTTTTTACCCTCAAACAAATACGAATGTAATCCTTTGGCTGTTTAACAAAAATTTTCTTAAACCACTCGCGCAAACACAGCCCTACATCTACTGAACTACAAACTAAGGCGAGGGGTGGGGGATATACCGTACACAACGTCTACAGTCACCCTTGATGATGCATATCTCTTTTCACTGCTTAGGCACGTACCTTTCCCCCCCGTAAGCCAGCAATCTCTCGAAGCGAAAAGACTACACCTCGAAATGCTTTCTGTATGCAGGCCTTGAGTTTTTCCAAATACTGCACGGACACCCATTTTGAAGAACAAATCGATACGACTTCCAAGAGCTGCTGCTTCCCTGACACCCCGCCGAGCTCCTTTTGGGCATCCCTTAGGAGAAGGTCAAGCACCGCTAGGATGTCTTCTTCATACTGATAAATTTCCACTTGGATCCGCCTGCCCTCCTGCATCGTCCATTCTCTGCGACTCTGATCCAGACAGGTCTGCAGCTCTGTCTCCTGGTGCAGAAGGAGTTCTGATTTTTGCTTCATGAAGTCCTCTTTAGCTGCTGCAAGCACCTCATTGATTTTGTTTCGATGGTCGTCTAAAAACTGCCGGTAATCTTGCTCATTTTGCTCTTGAAGTCTGTGGATTTCCTCTTGCTTCTCTTTGTTCCACTCACTCCGGGCTTTGGCCAACTCAGCCCTGACGACTACAGGGACCTCCTCGTCCTTCAACTCCAGCTCCCTCTGGAGGGAACGGAGCTGTTCTTCCAGGTCCTTCCCGGGGACCACAGCCTTCTTCATAGCCTCAAGCTCACGCTCCCACTGCTCCTTCGCTTCCGAAACAGCAAACAATACCTAAAGGAGAAAACATTCGTTTTTACCTGTCCCGATGAGTCGCCCGCAGAAACAAAAATATTACATTAACATGACTATTTGGCTTAACTTCTGAACTGAGTGAAGAGATTTAAAATCAAACTTGAGAGAAAAAAATCCATACTTTTATAAATATACCATGGGTATAGATCCAGCCCTTCGTATCAAAAACCTCCCAATTTGTGTCATGTTATCTGAAAATTAAAACATCGGTTTGTTGATGGAGAACTAAACATGTAGACTGCCTCCCCTCTGCCCCCAAATTGTATATGCATATATAGCGGGGGGCCTCATAAAGTTCAGGAGGAAATTTCATTATATTTTAATTCCATTTTCTACAAACTTATTGAAGTCTCCTCTAAACACGCACACAGTAGCTGATTTCTGATGTGTTCAAGTTATGATGAACTGTACTTGGGACTGTTGGTCTGTTTTTCGGTTTTGTCTTTATGTCTTATTGTTAGTAATATGTACTCCGTGCATTGGAGCGAGTAAAAAGTGTTCAAAGACTGGATTTATAGATACTGATAATGAAAGCAAGCAGAACGAAAGCCTAAAAAAGGGGAAAGGAGTACTTGATCTACATTAGAACTAACTTATGCTAGGGTCATCTGACTCGAACCACGGCGTAAGTTGAAAACTACCAGGCTATCATTAGAAGCAGCTAATTCATTTTAGGGTGGGGAAAAAAAAACATATCCTTTTAAAAAACAGATGCAACCTAAAATTTGACCTACACCCCAACAAAGTATTTTGATCTTAAGAAAAAGGACCTTAAACAGGGAAAGTTTACTTTTGAATAGGACAATAACATATTATCTTCATAATTACTTGCCATTAAATATAAGTTTATTTTAATGTAACGTTAATGGCTAGAACACCATTCATTACATGACAACACCATCAGGAAGTTTTGTTCATTTACAAAAGAATAGCAGGACTACTTGCTAGTACTTGAGAAGCAATACCAACCTGCCCAGCTCACAGTGACGCAGTAGCAGAGAGTGGAACTACCCCTTGGGTAACCAAGGCCGTGATTCTTTACAGGAGCAGGAAGCCTCCTTTTTCCTGCTAGTAAACTTGAACTGCTGACCTTGAAATTCGCAGTCCAATATATAACTCACTGCCCCCAGAGCTTCTTATAGGTCACAACAGAAGCCTGGAAATCACCATCAGGGGATTGGATAGGGGCGATGGAAACAGTGGCGTTTGGATAGACTACCTAGCCTTATAGTAAGTGACGTTTCACAAAGGCAATTTGGCAGTATTAATCCACCGAATGGTTCCCAAATTTTACTGCATATTAGAACCCAAGAAGCTTTTAAAATTCCTGATGCCTCTAGAAATAAAGAGACGCTCTCCCCTCCCTCCCGCTCTCTGCACGGACCTGGCTGTTGAGATGATGGCTGTCCCGGAGGTGAGTATGTTACCATAAAAACAAACAAACAAACAAACAAACAAAAACCTCCGGATGCCTAAGGTACACCTCAGACCAATTAAAGCAGAACTAGGTAACTGTGGCAGATGTTTTTAAACGATCCTTAAGCTCTTCCAAGATGGGACAAAGTTTGGGAACGACTTCACCCACTTGACTATTTCTGGGTTCCAGAGACTGGCTTTAGGCTTCCACAGATGGATCTCGATGGATCACGCTAATCCAACCCAACTCTCCAGCCAATCGGTCCCTGTGAAAATGCATCCCTTCCCCACCATAGGGAAGGGCGGCATGTGCGGAGAATCATGCTACCAGGCCTCTCACGTGGAGCCGGTTCTGACCCATGGGGACTCCATCTTTACAGGGTCAAACTGCTCTGCAGGGGTTGTCTCGCCTGTGATCTTTATTAGATCTCTAGGACTTTCTTCTGAGGTGCTGTGGTGTGGAATGAATACCACTCTTCAGTTTAGCTATTGTGGCTACTTGCCCTGGGGTCACTTGTGCCACCCAGGGAGTTTCTTAGTCACTGCCATCAAGCGGGTGATCATGCTATGGGACAGGGTGGAATGGCCCCGCAGGCTCCCAAGACTAACTCTTTACTGGGAGCAGAAAGTGTCTTCCTCCTCCCACGGAGCGGCTAGTGTTTGCGAACTGCTGACTTGGTGGTTAGAAGCCCAGAGTATAGACTCACTACACCCCCAGGGCTCCTCAGACTCATTCTGGGCCCCCTGAATGAGCATATCTCTGAGCATGAAGCCCAGCAATATAGACTAGACCTCCACCGGTTGACTTTTGAGAAGGCACAACAACTGTGTATTCACATGCATTCGGGGTTCTGTTCTTAGGAAAGGTTTCTCTGCCGACTTTATGTTCTACATCCCAGCGACTCTATTGTTCTAATTCACCTCTCAGCAATGTGAGCCACCTTTATTTTCGGATCATCACTTTGTTTCTTCCTTTCCGTTCGCGTTATCTTCGGTATTTCAAAGTCTTTTATCTTTTAGTATTTCAAAACACGAAACGATGGAAGAATAATGTAATGAACCCCATATGCTGTCCCATAATTTAAGGAGAAAATTACAGTTGGTTCTTATTTGGGTTGAGTTCTTTTCTTAAACAAGTTTCAGAGTAAGATTATGAGTACAGGGCAAGAATCCTTACAACATCTGTGGGAAACACGCTATTTTCCAAAATGAATGTGCTGCTAGCAAGGACTGTATGGATGCCATGCATTAAATTGTTTATTGGAATTAAATGAGGACCTATACCTATGACATAAGCATAAAATAGGACTTACGTTGATTTAAATTTGCATGTCTCTGAAATGGACAAGCGTGAATATCCTTCCATGTTTTTTTCATTTTGATACTTGAGTTCTCGTGAAAATGTCTTGCTCAAATCTTTAGCATACTTATCTACAGATTCTTTCTTACTTTACTTATAGCTTTATGTATGCTTTTTATCATACATTAGTACAAATATTTCACATATTTGATTCGTTTGTTTTCCTTGTTTTGCAATTCTTGTTATTTTTCAATACAAATACATAAGTGTTTTACATGTTTGCATATATTGTAACCGACAACTTTGTCTTTGCTACCATGTCCACTACTTCAAAATTGAGCTATCGCTATGCTACAGAATTTATTGTGAGGCATGGAATGTGTCACTTTTCCAAACCAAACTTTGGCTACCAGAAGATTATTCTGGAATAAGTTCTCATGTTTTGAAACAATTTACTATTTATTAAGCTTTTACTCATGGGTAGGACCTATCTGTGAAGCCTGCATTGTACTGAATGTAAAAGGATTCTGTTTGTGTCACTCAATCATCTCTGAATTGTTTGACATTATAGTCTGTGCTAGGACTACACTATTGTTTTCTATAATCGTAAAATTTCTTCTAGTATTTTTATTTTTCCAAATAAATGTTGGCATTGTGTGAAAAATCAAAACTGTGCGGTGTCTCCTGGCACTTTGATTTGAATTGGGGTAGCCCGATAAATTAAGTTGGGGAAATGCACAGTCATCTCCGGGTTTTGTAGTCGAGAAACGTGGCACCTCCTGGACGGAGAGTTGGCTATGCCCCAGGGAAAACAGGTTCTATACACCAGGAGATGCCTGCTGCAGCACAGAAAACAATCTCTAGTATAAGTGGATGCTTTATAGCTAATCATGAACAGAGGAAGGCTGATTCTCAATTCCCCCCAAAGATATGACAATAAAAAATGGGATTTAGTTTAGAAATTAAAGGGATATCTTGACGGTTGGTTTTTAAGATGCTGAAACACATTATTTATCCATGAACAACTATCTCCCCTATGGAAATTTATATTCTTCATAAAAAGTTGTCATGAATTCATCCTTTCCATTACGTTATGCTATTTTGAGATCTACAATTTCATAAATACCAGACCAGCACCCCCAAAATATTTCTTTCTGTCAGTGGGATATTTTAATTCTGGTCAAATCTTATAGTAAATATTTCAAAAAGCTAATATATTTTTTAAATGGTTGAAGATGTACTCCCTCTCCACCCCTAATGATTTATGATGAGCTGAGTGAAGGTTTATAGAGCAGATCAGTTTTCCATGCAACAATTCATACATTTTCTAACACATTGCTTACAATCCTCACACTGTAACATCACTTACCAACCTAGGTCCTCCCTGTTTCCTGTTTCCAATCCTCCTTCTTTCCTAATCCTTCGGAACTTTGTCCTTGGGAAATGCTGCCCTTGTGGTTCCCGGGTTGATGATTCAAAGGTGTGTGTACCTCACTCGTGTTACTGTACCCCTTATAGACCTGTCGATTGTTGGCTGAAAATGGAACCACAGGGTGGGTTCATTTCCAGATCTGCAGGGTAACAAAAGGCCAGAGACTCAGGGGTCCCCCAGTCTCCGCCCGGCCACGCTATCTGAGCTGGGCCATTTGGAAGATTTCGAGTGCTGGAGCACATTTCTCTCCCACTCGATCCAGGCCCTTCTAAAGTGATCCCGTTCAGAGTGGGGTGTAGCGGGCGTCAGACCCCACAAGGAGACCCCACCTGGTCTCCAGGTGATGGAGATTCATGTTGGTCAGGGCTACCTGTCCACTCGATTAATCGCTTCCAGGTGCCTTTGATTTCCATCACTCTTCTTTCCCCCAGCCAGGAAAAAAATCAGCAATTTGCACCTTAGATGGCTGCTCACGAGCTTTTGGGATCCCGGTCACTACTCACCAAAGTAGGATGTAGAACATTGTCTTTGTGGCTGATGTTATACCAATGGACCTTGCTGTGCCCTGAGATGATAGGCCTGAGCCCCTAAACCCAGCGACCAATGAGCTCAAGGTGTTTGGTATGTTTAAGTTTTCATAACTGTGGCCCCAGTATGCTGTACCACATTCACAGATATATTTTCAAAGATAAATATAAATATATAAATGGCCATTTGGCTTCTGCCAAATCTACATATACTCTTCCTCCCACCTCCATTCAGCCTGCAAGTGTATCCAAGTATCCGCTTGTAGCTCACCAGCATCGCACGAGTATGTAAAGACCTTTGTTGCCTTTAACTCTTGTACTCTCCCAGTACTTTTCCCTGCTTCCATCACCTTTTTTCCCCGTCAACCTCCCTCTTATTGTAGATTTGCCTTGCTCTGGTTGAAGATGTTCTTGATACCATTACACCGACTTACCTGCTTCGAGACTTTACAGATACCCTGAACAGCTTGGTAATGCTGATGACAGAAGAGATCAGATGCCAAACTCCGAACTAATCCTTAACCAGTATTATCTTACTTAATCCTTGGACAATTCTAGGAGGTGGTCCCAATTTCCAGGACTGAAAAGACAGGAGTTGGGAGGAGCGACCTTCTGAAGTTACTGACCCGTTTGGCCACAGAGAGTTCCTGCTGTTCTTCCCACTTCTTCTGCTCGGCTCGCACACGCGCTTTGTACTCTGCAAGCTCGGGCAGTTCTGACAGCCATCGCAGACGAGCATTTTGCACAGCTACTTCAACCTAGTGCAGGAAAAAGAGGCCAAGACGGATGCAAAATCCCCAAAAGATCACCTTTTCCAACAGCAACTTTATATCAAACACAAACATGCACATTGATAGAGCTTGAAACGTTACACTTGGTAACGTTTTCTGCTGCCAAGGGTAACTTTATGGCTAAAGAATGGGGTGGCCCATCAATTCAGGCACAACGTAAAGTCCTGATGAAACTGCTTATAAACCTGTCACCAGTTATCACCAGGTCACTTACTAAATAATGACATACACACATGAATGCATTCCCACACGCCGATTCAAAAGCAGAGTTGATGTAAACAGCTGTCTTTCTGACTAAAGCGCTAGATGCATTTAATGATTGATTACGGGGACTGAAAAATAAGAGAAAAAGATGAAGCGCTTAAGCAAGTTCCTTATCACTTCAAAGGTTATTACAAACACTCCTTTTCTATCACGCTTTTGGTTTTTCTTCACGAGGCCTAGAATGTCACAAATTCCAAAGCCGCACCCTTAAGTATATCACTTTCTCGGGGATATCTTTTCAGTCTTTTTTTTTTAACTTTTAGATATTCTGAAAAGGATGGATTCTTCCCATTCTATGAGACATCCTTGATCCCGGTAAATGTTTCCAGGCTTTCAGGATAGAGCGATGAACGGAAGAGCACAACTGCAAGCACGGATGAAAAGCAGGGTGGACGAGGGGCTTCAAAGAGTTGATGGGGAAACAAACCCCTTGTCTCTAACTTCATTGTTCCACAAACTTCTCGGCAGCCCCTTTGTCTGTGGGAGATCTCGTTGCGGGCACTACCTTGTGTGAGAGCTTATAAGAAACACTAGATTCAAAATAATCAGTATGACAGTCCGGAAAATTCGGAAAAGCCCATGACACAGGGAGGTCAAACTATCTACAAACAAATCTTAAGTCAGGATCGTCCGTTTTCCCTTCATTCTCTCGGGACTGGAAGGACCAGTCCTTCAGGGACCGCACAACACGCGATGTCGGGGCGTGGCCAGCCAGTAGAAGGAATGCTTGCGCATCCATGGATTTTAAATGGTTCTCGCCCTTCCTTTCTGGTCTACGAAAGACTAAAGGATTGAACTCACATTAAATAAAAGCCCTTAAGGTGTCTCCTGTTTTCAAAAGTGCCAAGGCATGAAGAAGCAACACAACACAAAACAAGAAAATTGAGCATCACTATGAATGGGTAACAGACAATATGGGAAAATGCCTTTTTATTCTCATAACACAGGGCTATACTTTACTAAGTATGGAAGTTCTTGGAAATTAAGTTGACAGTGAGCTAGTTCTCCAAGGGCAAGGGAAAGGCACCCCTTCTTGGCAGCATAGGGGAATGACAGACGAAAGCCTGTTTCAGGCGCATGTCCCAGATTCAGCGCCGTATCACGTCTCAACATAGACACAGCTCAATTGATTACTTGATTTACGTTTGCTTACCTACAACGATTTTGTGAGCTACTCTATAGAAAATTAGAATAATTCATGATTCAATTAAGCTTAACTCAGGTGTACAATCACCATCTTTAACCTCAGTCATCTTAACGCTTTTTTAAAAAAAACAATTTCATTGACATATGATTCACATATCATACAATAACTCAATCCTGTTTAAAAGAGTTGGTCGATTACATCCTAAGGCTTTGACTGATTTCAGAGGATGGAACCTTCTGCAAACTGAACGAACACATGGAAAATTCGAGATGACAGCTCTGTGATAGACATAATGGAGAAACACATAACATACCAAGTTCTCTACGCGACAAATGCACACACATTTAAAAGGAGCAGAGTGATGAGTAAGAGGATTTCCAAGAATAACATTATACTGGTTCATGTTTTCATTGCTTAATAGACGGCATTTAAAAGGCTTTCAGTAAGAGGGAGATAATAAGGCAGCACCAGGGCAAGCCCGTTGAGTACCTGTTTGGTGATCTGTTCGCAGTATTTGAGTTCCAATTCGATCTCGTGTTTCTTCAAGCGCTCTTGGAGAGCTTTCTCCTTCTCCTGCTCCACATCTTGCTGAATCTTTTGCTTCTGCTCAGCGGCCATCACTGCCATCTCTTTCTCAAAAAGGACACGAATGGGGGTCGCTGGGTCAGTCTGGCTGCCACAGTCTGAGGTCTCCTTTGTCATTGCCTTGAGCGTTTGTTCCAGCTTCGACTGCCATTCCTTTTCAAGCTGCTGAGTGAGGCCTTGTTTGATCTGTTTTCCAAAGGAAAAATGTTTGGGAAGAGAGATCCTCCAATCAGTCAAACCTAGAATCCATAGCTGGCCAATTCAAAGCAACACACAGCAGAGGCAGGAAACCGCCACACACTGCTGTGGCCATTAGGTAAGCTTGAGGAAAACGTCAATGGAAATAGAACCCAGGTTGGTCCCCGGCCTTAACTTGCAATACGGCATCCCCTGAAATGGTTCCGGACGCCGTGAGAGGTCAGGCCAGCTTGCTCTCAACATGCAACTTTCTGGAAGCTCTGACATTGCCACTACAGAGATGGCATAGTTTGAAATGAGCTTTGGGGGGGCTACGAAGAATGGGTATTTTCCCATAAGCACCAGGCTTCGTACAATGCAGACACTCCTCCGGCCTATTTAGTGAACCTAAGATAGAATCCAAAAGTATAAGAGGAGGCTTCAAAAGCTTCATGGGAAAATTCCATGATCTCCTAATTCCACTTTCCCACAAACTTCTTGAAGCCCTCCTCCTTGTTGTGTTCGCTTGAACACATGAAGCTCTTGCTGGCCAGGATGTAAGTTGCAAGGAGCAGATGCAAGAGGGGCATTATGGGAAGTATGACTTTGATGACTCTTTCCCATCCACTTTCACCAGTGAGTGGGATAGAGCCACACAGAACCTGTCTCAGGTAAAACCGCGCAGTAGCAACATTTACTGGTCCCTTTTCCTGTTCTCCAAAGATCTGGACCCTGAGTTCACGAATGTCTTCCCCGGTCCCCCTGGGTCGCCTTATTTAAAACAGCCTCTTGGTCATAGCTCAGGCTTTCCTGTCATGGGAATATCAGATCTCCATCTCACTCCCTAGAAATTCATTGACTAGCTCATCCAAATTTTAAAAACAAGAACAAGACAGTTTGTAAGAATGCGTACGGAGGGAGCTAGTTTCATTTTGGGTCATTCTGATTATATGTTTCTATATGAAAGAATGAGTAGGAGACTCTATTTCAGGTGCCAGCACCAGATTAATGGGAGCACCAATTGGGGACACCTAAAGAGCGGGGACACCTAAAGACGGGTGGACAGTTGTCTACCAGTCTGTCTTGAGAAAGCACAGCTCTTAATTAACAGCATTACTGTGGACGGGAGAGTCTGGTCTAAGTAAGCTGGTGAATTCGTTTCATTTCCCAGCATGTTTTGGGGGAACTCAAGTTGATTGTTAACTTTCTAGGAAACAATGAGCACTTCTGGACTCGTTTTCGACTTACACGATGGAGGAGCAAAGTTCATGCTTCTGAGCCTGCCCAGTCAGCATGCCTTTCCTCCCCGCTGCAGTCTGGATGGTTTCTGCTGACTCTGGAGTCTTCAGGGTGATTTCACAATAGGAAAGGAGGTCCTGGTATCACTGAGGGGCAGCAGAGGTGTGCCAAAACACCCGCTGGCCCCCGACTTGGGTTAAAACCCAAGAAGGGAATTAAAAAGTATACGTACTGGTGTAGGAGCCTAATAGTTCAATCCTGAGACATAGAAGGGGTGACTGTGCATGACCTTGGCCGTTAAAATACCAGGAATGAAGTTAATACTATACTTTATAGAGGATGATCCCCAGAAAGAAATGAAACTTTAACCCACACCTCTTCCTGCTCCTTCTCCCACTGGGCTTTGACTAATGTCAGCTCACTTTCAACCTGCTGCTTAGTATCAGTGTCTCGCTCTCTCTGCCACTTGTCCTTTTCCATCTGAAGGGTGTCATGGTACTTTTCTTCAAGTTGCACCTGCAGTCTGCGTATATATTCTTCTCGCTCTTCCAATAGCTGTTTCTTTAAATAGAATTAGATGAAGATCACTGTGTGCAGAGTCTCCAGGTTAAACTTAGAAAATAATGATGATACGTATGTAATAGACAGCAGCAAGAGATAGGAACATCAGCAACACTGTCTCCTAATCCCCAGAGAAGCTGACCTCCTGGGTGTTTGCCCTGGCTTGCCAATTCTGGCTGTCTGGTTCCTGGCTACCTGGTTGATTTTCCTCTGACCCCCCCACCCCCACCCAAAAAAGGTGTATCCTGGAGACATGCAACTTTCTCAAAAGGTCAATGATTAAGAAAAATTAAGCAATTCAATTTAAAAATGGGGGTATGTGTGTGAAGTCATCCACGAAGACATAAACCAAATAAGCATATTAAAAACATGTTCAAAATCATAGCCCACAGGGACAGGCAAATTAAAATGATCAAAATATACTACTATATACCCATTAGATTGTCTGAAATGAAAAAAAAAAAATCCTGACAATATCTAGTTCCAGAAAGGATGTAGCGAAAACGAAACTTTCACCCCTGCTGGGGAAAATGAAAAATTCCAGCCACTCTGGAAAGTGGCTTTAGTTTCTTATATCGCTGTCACTGACTGCCATCGAGTCAATTCCAGGAGTAGAAAGTCTCGCTTTCTGCTGCAGACCATCTGGTGGTTTCAAACTGCTGACCTTGAGGTTAGGCGCCCAAGGAGTCACCCCTGGCACCCCCAGGGCTCGTCTGTTAGCTACTATCAAGTCAGGTCTGATTCAGGCCAGAGTAGAACTGCTTTGTAGGGTTCTCTTAGCTGTGAGCTTTCCAGGAGCACATTGCCAAGGTTTTTCTTGCTCAGAGCTGCTGCGTGGGCTTGAGCTGCCAATCTTTAGTTAGCAACTCATTGCAACCTGCTTACCCATCCAGCTCCTTCGTCTTTTCTTATAAAGGAAAACACGCACTGTGCCACTAACCAAGGGCTCACCCTCCTGGGGGTTTACTCTAGAGAATCAGACCGCTGTTCATGCCAAACCCTGTACCCTATTGTTTACAGTAGCTGCAAGTAAACAAACAACCAAAAACTCCTTTAAAGTTTTAAGACACAGAGATGTTATTTTGACGACGAAGGTGCCCCTGACCGAAGCCGTGGCCTTTGGAGTCACCTCATGTGCCTGCAAAAGCTGGACAGGGAAATGGACAGAGAAAGATGACGGTGTTGGGCAAGACCACCCAGGAAGCCACGGTCAGGAGAACAAACAAACCCATCGGAGGAAACACCAGACCTCTTCTTAGACGCGAGGAGGGAGACGCTTCCAATCTCTTACTATGAACATGTTATGCGGAGCGACCAATTGTAAATACGTATTGGGTGTTTCTTTAAAAACCACAAACCGGCAAACAAAAAATCCCTCCAGATTCCTTATCCTGCAAACCCAAAGAGTGGTCTGGTGGCTTAAAAAAGAAAAAGAAGAAAAGTAAAAGGGCAATGGACGTGGAGTCGTTAGTGACAGACAAGTTCATCTCAAACAACAACAACAAAAATGGAATGATCGACTGCTAGGAAACGACATCATGGCTGACAACATGGCGGGGAAGAAAAACTACTGCGACCTTCAAGGTGATGGCTGACAGAGGAACTGCGACATCGAACTCAAATATAAAGGTGGCACAACTGGGCAACATTTTGTTCTGTTAAAAATAAGATTGAATGTGTGACGCTGGCTAGGACAACTAATAAGAACATGCATAACCACCCAAACGTCATGGGTAAGGAGATAAGTAAATTGGAACATGTTGTGGTGGTGACAGAATCTGTTGTCAATTTGAGACTTCAGAGTGAAGGGGAGGAGTTGAGCCCATCAATCAGGTCGCAGCTTAATGACCTCATTTGGAGGCGCTAAGAAGATAGATAATAACTTGTTGGAGGAGGGACACACGTTCACTCCCTGCAAGATATGCTTACTGACAAGGCACATGGACTGATGCTAGAGGCCTGGAGCTGAAGGAACCACGTAGAGACGTCTGCCAACACTGAGATGCCTCTACTACCACTGGATCCACAAGACTTTCCACCCTCTGGCCTGTGATCTTCCTGTGTTCAGAAGATCATTGTGTTTCATGTCTGAAGAGGAATTTATAGATTGGTATCAGACATATGGGTTAATATCGGACTTAAGGACTTGACCTGGACTGGGCTGGGATGTTTTCTCAATATTCAATTGTTCTCAATATTCAAGAGCTCTTTCTTATACACATATGTGAATGCCTCTGGATTTGTTTCTCTGGTCAACCCAGACTAACACATACATCGATACAAGGAACTGCTCTCTGTCAAAGAACAAACTCCTCATACACATGAATGAATCTCAAAGTCCGTATGCTGAGTATAAGAAGCTGGTCTCACAATTGTACCCATTGAATGATTCCATTTATATGGCATTTGTGAAAAAGCAGACCAGGGACAGAACAGATGAGGGACTCCCAGCTGCTAGGGGTGAGGGAGTAGATAGAACTACAAAGGGATACCAGGAGAGTTTTTTTCAGAATGATGAAATTGTTCTGTATCCTGATGAATGTATACATCTGTTAGAACTCATAGAACTGAACACCAAAAAACCCCCAAAAAGTTGATTTTACTGTTTTTAAATTTAAAAAAAAGAAAAAGAAAAAAGAATTTTGGGAGGAAGGACCACATAACACTTTTTTCTTCTAGCCCCAGTGTAAAAAATAAAATTTAAAAAAAAACCCTTCATGAACCAAAATATTAGTAAGCGATACTATTAATTGTAACTGCCTTGTTATATAAGATCTAATTTATAATCAAATTCTTTTTTTTTTTTTGAAGTACCAAAAATGTCCACTGCTCCTCTGTCACTTTGTGGCACCATGAGGAGTTGGGGGTTGCTGTGATACTGGAAATGATACCACCAGGACTTCGTCTGCCAGCAGGGGCACCCAAGTGCATAGAAACCAGTGGAATTTGCAAACAGAGAGACTGGGAATAAGGGCCTGGCGATCTGCTGGAAGCCCCTGAATGGCAGGGAGTAGAACACCGTCTAACATCGTGTCAGAAGATGAGCCCATCGGGTTGGAAGACACTCAAATACAAAGAGCTGGGGGAGAGCTGCCTCCCTGAATCGAGCTGATCTTAGCGGCATGGACCTTCATTTGCTGAGGTGCAAGGGCTCCAAAAGAGAAGAAACAGCTGCAAACATCAATTCATAATCAGATCGTGGAATGTCTAAAGTGTATATCTAGGAAGATAGGAATTTTTCAAAAATGGAATGAAACATCTGAAGATTGATATCCTAGGGATTCGTGAGTTGACTGTTTGCAGGCCAGTGAATTATGTAAGGCGGCTCTTCTCAACACAGGATCTGTAACTCCCACCCAACCACTCGTTCCTGATGAGTCTGGATAAGAAGGTGGGTGGGGAGATACTGATTACACCATCTGGTTCAACTGGGAGTGAGTACCATTCTGCTGGGTATAAAGTGAGCCCTCTCAGAAGCAGGGCAAGGGATCTCACTACCAGCAAGAGAGAGCCGTGAAGGAAGCATGTACTTTGAAGTACATGAAGGCGTGAAGGAAGCATGTACATGAAGATCCTGAGAAGCCTACACATTGAGCCTCCTTGATCCAGGAGACCGCTCTGACACCAGAGGAGCGACAGAGAAGTGGGAACAGCAGAACCAGGAGCCAGAGCATGAGACATAGCGGTGGACATCCCGGCCCAAAGGACAAAAATAAAAGCAGAAGGCAAGCTTTTGGAGCACGGCATTGAATTAGGGGAGATGGGTTTGCTGGCCCACGGAGCTAGAGCTGGGTGTCTTCTGGTTGAGGCTTACGGGGGGGGGGGGGGGGACAGGACAGGACAGGCCCTTTGGGCAAGTATTAGCAGCTGGAGAGGATGTTACACAGTTCCTTTAGGGCCGCTAATACTTGAATTGCCCACCTGAATGGTAAACTGTTAACTTCTATAATAAACCGCATAATAGGAGAAGCGTTGTTTGTGACTTCTATGTGGCCATTGCAATGAATTCTAAAACCCAGTTTTTAAGAAAAGTATAGAGAGTATCACGGGAGACTGGTATTGGCCATTTTAAATCAGACAATCACATGGTCTATGCTGGGAATGACAAGTTGAAAAGGAATGGTGTCGCATGGGCCATCAAACAGAACTTTCCAAGACTGATCCTGAAGTGCAATCGTGTCAGTGGTAGGCTCCTAGCCCTAGGCCCATATGGAAGACCAGTTCATACAAACCTTACTGAAATGTACACACCAGCCACTAATGCCAAAGGTGAAGACATCTGAAATCGATCAAACATGCAATCATGATACGTTGCTAATTAACGGTGATTGAAATGTGGAAGTTGGAAACCAAGAAGGATCTCACTGGCATCAATTGGATGCTGACTCATAACAACCTTATAGAATAGGGTACAAATACCCCCTGCAAGTTTCTGAGACTATCACTCTGTTCCCCCTCAGAGCAGCTGGTGGGTTTGAACAGCTGACCTTGCAGATCACAGCCCAACTCAACAAACAGATGCAACATTGGAAGTGCTCATTTATCCTTGCCAGGAAATTTGGAAGACAGCTTCCTGGTCCATGAAATCCATATGCTCGCCCATTCCAAAGAAAAGCGGTCCAACCAATGTTGAAAGTATCTAATATTACTATCACATGCAAGTAACCCTATGCTGTAGAATTCAAAACCAGTTGCAAAAGTACAGTGACAGGGAACTGTCAGCAATTCAAGCCAGACCTAGTTTAGAAACTGCTGTGGTAGGAAGAATAGCATTGTCGAGGTAAGATGGACCTCGCTGAAAGCAAAGAGTACAAGAAAAGTGTTTACTTTTATTGAATATGCAAAGGAATTCCACTGTGCAGAGCTTAAAAATTATGGACAACACTACAAAGAATGGGAATTCCGGAGCAGGGTCTGTGTGCTCATGCAGAAGCAATACATAAATGAGGCGGCTGTTCAAGCTGAATAAAATTTAAAATCAGAAAAGGTGCCCATCAGGGTCATGGCCTTTCACCGTAATGATTCCGTCTGTATGCTGAGCAACTAACCCAAGAAACTGGATGAGACGGAGAATGCAGCGTCAGAACTGGAGAAGATCCATTAATAACCTGAGATCTGCAGAAGACACACCCGCATGTGCTAAAAGTAAAGAGGACTTGAAGCACTGACAGGTGAAGGGCAAAAACTTCATTCAGAAAGGTTTACATCCCATCAACACAGAAACAAAACTCTTCACCGTTGGACCCATAAGCAACAGCATGGTAAATGGAGCAAACCTTAAAGTTGTCAAATATGTGTCCTTTTCTCTGTTCCCAACCAGCACCCACGGAAGTAGCAGTCAAGAAAACAAATGCGGTAATTCGCTGGGCAGATCAAATTCAAAAGACTAAAGAACTGCACAGACTTCCATTTGAGTACTACGGCGCGTCTGGTGCAAGCCATGGGATTTGCAGGAGCCTCATGCACACAAAAGCTGGACAATGAATAAGGAAAGAAGAAGTGATGCACTTGAATGATGGCATGGCAAAGAACATCGAGAATTTTGGACTGCCAAAAAACAAACAAATAGATCTTAGAAGAAGTACGGTCAGAATGCTCCTTAGAAGCGAAGAAGGTAAGATTTCATATCATGTACTCGGGACATGTCATCAGGAGGGACCAGTTTCTGCAGAAGGACATCATGCTTGGTCAGGAAAACAGAGACACAAAATGAAATGGACAGACACAGGGCCTACATCAGTGCGTTCACACGCGGCAAGCATTGTGAGGACGGTGCAAGACCGAACAGTGCTTCAGATTTACATATGAAAGATACTTTTTACAACGTCTCGCTCCTAGGATCCGGTTCATGCAGGCACTGATTTATTCCAAATAAAATGTGTTTAAATACGTCTCTGTGATCAGAGGACGGCGGCAGATAAATTCTCTGAGTAAGACACTTGTGTTAGTCTCTCATCAAGGGTGAGATTTCAAAAAGGTTCATCAAAACAGTAGCTTCCTGAGGGATCTGCTGGACCCGTTAAGTGCAAGGCAGAAAAATCAGCTCAAAGAGTATGGTGATTCCTTTGGGGACCCCCAGGGGCAGTCTTGATTTTTCTCAAAGGACAAAGCATGACCATGGGGGCTCATTAAGAAATTGCCCAAAGTGCCATTTTGACCAGGTGTGAATCCAAGAGCACAGAGTCCTTTGGGGAAAAGAAACCCCACCTTCAGAGGGGTACAGACCAAGACAGAAGGCTCAGTGCGGAGCCACAGCCTCAATTTCAATATCTACTAAAGGGGTAGATAACTTTGTAGCAATTCTTTATTCATTCCCCTCAAATCCTTTTCTTCTAAGGTTTTAATAACTATTTTCATCTTTACTATAGCTTGTGAACTCTATTAGGGTGACAGAATCGAACGAAGGGAAAGAGACCGCCTGCTTGTCTTCCCCAGCTCGTGGGAGCAAGTGCGCTGGTTGAACGATACTAGGGAGGCCGGAGCAAAGACCATCCTAGCGTACCTTCTCCTCCTGAAATCGCTGCTCCTTCTCGATGGTCTTCCTGAGATTAAATTCAAGATTGTCCTTCTCTCTGCACACCGCCAGGTAACACTCCTGTACAGCAGCCATTTCCTTGTTCATCTTATCTAAGTCAGACCTGGGATGCGCAAAACCGGGAGTTAATAACCACACACACACACACACACACACACACACACACACAGGGGCTACCTAACAAACGATTTTCCTCTCAGTGACCAAATAGGAAAACGTCGTCTCCTGTCTTTAAAAGGAAGATGCTCCTTCCGTCTCACCTAAGCTGCACGCGATTCCCCTCATAAACCTCCATGAGCTGCTGCTTCTCCAAAGCATGTTTCGCTAGGAGGCTCTCCCGGATCTGCGTTTTCATGGCTTCGTGGTGCTGCTGGTAAGTCCTCTCACACCTAAACACAGAAAGCAGGATGAAGGCAGTGGGCACACCATCACCGCAAACACCAAGAGGAACTGGGTTTCCTTCCTTCCCTCCCATCTACTTCCTCTCATGCAAGCTAATTAACGTCAGCTGGGTTTTCCCCAACCCAAAGCGGTAATAATTCGTTCTCTCCAACAGAGAGCCTCATGAGAATTTTCAATTTTTTTCCTTCGGATGTTTCTAGAGAATCATTGGAAAAACAGATCTGAGAATGCCCCCGTTCTTCAAGCAGAAACCATAGTTCTTGTTGAGAACTTCTGCTTAGAAGACTTGAAACCATCCACGAAGTGGTTCCCGAGTTCCAACTGCGCTGCACTGAGCACAAATAGTAGTGCCCGACTCACACGTAAGTTATGTCCCAAAAGTCTGTTTCCAAGTTTATGATTTGGTACTTAGAAGACATAGTTCCTCCCACAGATAGCTTCCTTAGAAAGATTAGTTCGAGTCCCAGACTCGCCTTAGAAAAACAACAAACTAAGCTATTCAACGTCTGGAAGCTACAGCTTTAATGGTGCTATAGAAACCAACCCATTATATAGCACTGCTTCTATGGAAAATATGTTCCAAATTCTAATTGAAAAAGTCAGAGAGTCATCTTATGCCCTCAGTAGGGACGGTTTATTCCATCATTTCTCTTGACTCTTCTTGTTGGGGTAGGAGAGGGAAAGGAGGAGGGAGGCAGGCATTGGGACAACTCCATGGAGACCTTACCTCTCCACAGTTTCTTGTTTGTCACGGTCAAAATCTTGTACCATTTGTCTCATTTGATTACATAAGTCTTGATTTGTACTCCTCAGCTTTCCATCGGTTTCTCTAAGTTCCTAGGTACACAGGAATTAAAGACTTAGAGGGGAAAAACATCATTTCCATTGTTTAATGTCATCTTGTTGGCACAATACGCCTGTCAATATTTTTCAAAAGAAAAATTTTCTTCACACCTTAAAAATATAGGTTCATGTTCTCGGATAAGTAGCTTTCTGATTAGAAGTAAAAATTAAAAGTTTGTGTTAATTTTGCAATACAAAAAATGAAAACATTTAACCCTACAACTACTAGCTAACTCATGCCTTAAAGTATTCCTGGATTTCAATAATCTTTAACAATGATACATATAAGTGAGGTTTAACTTTGGGTTCAAAGCCTGGCACAGGGAGAACACCTTTACTAGTTATATTACTATGCAGACAGGAAATTACCTTCCGATAAAACTACTGCCTAGTGACCACCCTTAAATACCTACTAATAAACTCATTACTCGAGCTGGTCACCTCTTTGTCATCAAAAGCTTACTGTGTATTTTGTCTTTAATGAAGCCATGAAAACACTCAGACAATAGAGAAAGGGAGAGAAAAAAAAAAATCAGTCACCTGATTCTGTTGTTGTAAAACCTGAATTTCATTTTTAAGTTGGAGAATGTCATCTCTGCCCATCGTATCAGGCGTACAAGAGCCAGGCCATAATTGATCGATTGGTTTTTCTGAGCTGCCTGTTTTAATCTGAAGATTACAAAGAAGCTGAAATGTATTCGGGTCTTTAAAAAATCATTTGAAATGTTCGTTTTGAAATAAGTTCACATTTAGAAAGACATTGCTAAAGCTTATGCTTATGCTAAAGCACCCAAACCCAAAGAGCTTTCACCTATCCTCCCTACACACAGCCACAGCACGGACCGTCCGAGAAACAAACACCGCAACAATGCTATCGCTCTAACCTGGAAATGATGCAATCCCCCCAACTCCTTTCTGATGTCCTTTTACTGGCCCATGAGCTAATCCCCGGTCTCGTGTGGAATTTACTTGTCCTATCTCCCTAGTCTCCTCCTATCGTGAACAGTTCTTGGATAGTTTCTTTTTTGCCTTCAAAACTTGTGACAGTTTTTTCAAGAGTACTAGACAGTTAATTTGTGGGATGCTCAACTCAGGTATTTCTGATGTTGAACTCGTTATTAAATTCAGGGCATGCACCATGGGCATGCATGTTCCAGCAGTGATGTGGTGTCCTCTCCAGAAAGGCCCATCTATCTGTAGACATGCTAAGGGACAGCTCTGGTTTATCACTGAGGATGTTTAACTTGCACCCGTTGGTTAAGGCAGTGTTGGGCAAGCTTCACCCATGACCAAGTTATCATCTGTTTGCAATGAAAAGCATCTTATGACAAGATCCTTTTTGAGTATGCAGATGTCCTATATTTCTCATTAGATTTTCCACCGAATAAGGTTACCAACTTGTTCTGTGTCTGCATTTATTTACTTGGATTGGTGTGCAGTCGTGGATCGCTATTTTATTCAATAGAGATATCTTTAAGACTGATGGCTTTGATAAATTGATTATTTTCCTCTTCTGTTTTTTGTGTTCTTTATTCATTCAAGATTATAAAGATTTTTAAAAATACCTACTGTACTTGATTTGCTTTTTGTCTGTCTACCTTCCTGGGCTCTGAGCACTCTTCTGCTGCGTTTAGACACAGCAAGGTCCAATTGACTCCTTTGGGGGGTGGGTAGCCCGTGGGGTCCATTCTGAGACATGCGACCCCATGCGTGACGAGCAGAATTGCTCCCTGGGCTTTCAAGTCTGTGACTTTGGGAAGATCGCCTGGCCTGTCTTCCGAGGCACCTCGCAGTGGGCTCCAACGGCCCAACCTTTTGGCTAACAGTGGAGCATTGAACCACCTGTGCCAGCCGGGGCCTGGGATAGGAGAGCATGTGTCCCATTACCGTGTAAGGTAACCGACCCTGAGGCTGGGGATCGGTCCCCCCAACTCGGTGTCGGGCAGCAGTCTTCCCTCGTTCAGAGGCTGAGGACACTGGGGGTGCACGTTCCCCCTTCACTTGCTGTCTTTCTCAGAAGTCACTTCTAAGACTGCAGTCAGAGAACAGAAAGTACCTGACTATGAACCTGAGAGCTTTTTTTTTTAAGACCATCTTTTCACTAATTTGCTTCTGCATCTCCCTTTCCTCTAGCTAGCAAGGCATGTATTCCCTGAACAGATATTTACTGAGAAAACAGGGGGGAATTTCTCAAGATGATCTTCCCAAGAAATCGCCTTCTGTAATACATTGAAGCAGAAAAGGCATCAGGAAAACGAGTTTAGATGTAGAATGCTGAGAAAACCCCTCATCAAAAGAGCAGCTGGACCCAGTGTCTATCCTGTTATGGGTTAACTCTCATCCACCGGCTGATCTACCAGGCTGTCGAAGCCAAAGAGGAGGCCGCGTGAACAACCAACACCAGGTATGTCCACCACCAACGTCCACACTTGGGCAAGTGTGCATGTGCAGTAAATGCTATTAGTATCTACTTCATAGGCCAATGAAAGCAGCCAGCCAGTCAGGGAGCAGACTCAAATCCCAGTTCTAGGCTCCTAATCCTTGGATGGTTTCCAGCAAGCTATTACATCAGTCAATCCTAATCAACCTGATGGGGAGATACAACCTTACATTCTCAACTGTTCTAAGAAACAATTACAATGGTTTCATTTAAAGTTGTTCATTGTGTTCCTGGTAGAGGAGTAGGCCTCTCTAGTTTGGCTATTAAAAGTTTAAATCAGGTTGTACTCATCAAATACAGTTAACTGAGAAAAGGAACCAGCTTTCACAGTGAAAACACAGTATTATTTTGGCAAAATAAATGGGCCGCAATTAAAAGTCCATCATAATGAGCATCACAGAAGATCTAACATACTCTGCTATAACAGGCTTGTTTTCATGAACACAACTCCTAGTTACAGACTTGGGAGATGAAGCGGTTCTCACACACGGTGAAAAATGTGATTTTAATCCGGGAGACTAAGGAATATACCACCTACATCCACTTTCCAGAGCCATTACGTCTTCTGGTTGTTCTGTTCTACTGGACGGATAGATTAGATGGGTTGGGCCTTGTGAAGTGCAGAAGGCTGAAAGGGGATCCGTTAAAGCGAAAGCGCCAAGGACCTCTGTGATAGCGCCATCTTGTGGACACGACCTTGGCCAATGACATTAGTCAGTCCCTGCTATAAGGCACAACTGCCAGCCTAAAAGACCAGGGGTGCAAACCTGCCGAGCAGCGCCATGGGAGAAAGGCCCGGCTACCTGCGCCTATAGCGAGTACAGCCAGGAAATCCCTATGGAGCAGTTTTCCTCTGTAACCCAGGGGATCCCCACCCTAAGTCACAATCGACAGCAGTGGGCTTGATTTGGTTTGGAATTTATTTGCTGTGGGTTTTTGTATCAATTTGTTTTCGGACAGACTCCGTAACCTTACATATTCCTCCCGCCTCCTTTTTTTTTTTTTTAATAGTGGACGATGTCAACTTTTTTGTTTCTATGACTGCAGCATCTAGCGCCACCCGATTCAGCTCCTCTCCCCTCTGCATCGCTGCACCGTGAGTCCCTTCGACGGGACGACTTCTGCTGTGGGCGCATGGGCCAGAGAACTCCCGTAGACAAAGCGCTTCAGGCTTTCATTGGGGCGACTTTCCTGGAACTTTGCCAGAGGTCTGCTGATTCGGGCTCCAGGCTCGGGCAATACAGAGACCGTGTTAGGCAGATGCTTCCGAGTACTCGTTATAAAGGGATCTGACCTAACTGACATCACACTTGCCAGGTGCTGAGACTAACCAGAAAACAGACTTCGATGAGTGGCATTGCCTTTTCCTTCTTTCAACCTTACCTCTTAAAAAAAAAAGGCAAATGAGCCTGAAAGCTGAAAGTTTAATTTGAGTACAGAGAGTGGTAATGCTTTCTCAGTGACCTTGGGGGGAAAATTGTCCTTGAACTCGACAAAGCCCACAAACCTCCGTCTGGACGCTCTTCTCAGCCCTCTCCACTGGTTGGGCCCCTTCCCTCTTCCCACGACAGTCTTGGAGCTCCTTCTGCAACTGGGAGACCAGGTGGCGCTTCACGGAGTTGCTGCCCAGCAAACGCTGCACTTCCGCTTTCAGCTTCAGAATCAGCTGGTCTTTGGAGAGCGCTTCATTTGGGTCTTCTTGCTGCACCATGCTAATAGAGAAATCGTCATTTTTATGACTCAATTTTGTAGCAAACCATGCCTGATTATTTCTGAGAAGCCACCATCCATCATGATAACCATGTATACTGACCTGGTACGGTGACACTAGCATTTTGAAACAATATTAACCTTTTTCATACACAAGGGTACCTTTGCGATGCCTATAGATACACAGAAAGAACTTTATCCTTAGGGTGACCCCTCCCAAGTTCAGTCCCACTCTCTCACTACTAGGGGCTCAGCCCCATGATTGTAGACGTGGCTTGCGTTTCATTTTGGGTAAACTGCATGCTGTACATGCATGGCTTTAACGACTCTCTAAGGGAAACATGAACATTAAGAATGATAAAAAAAGAGGACACACTGGCCATCCCAACCAACGACTTCTGTATCTCTTGATTTACTAAAACACAAGACTGGGCAAAGAGCTGAATAACGGTGGTTGGGGAAAAAAAGGCTTTTGTTTTGTTTGTTCTTTTTATCTTCTTTTTTTTTCATGTCTGTCTATACAAGACAGGCAGGATAAACAATCCCGAGGAGAAAACAACGGGACCGACTGTTCCGGGGAATATGGGAGAGGAGAAGGTGGAGGAAAAGGAGGGGGGAGCCAACAAACCCAGGGACAAGGGAACAACAAGAGTTCTAATTTCGGTGGCAAAGAAAGCATTGAATGCCTGGCAGGGTTTGATCAAGTGCAATGGAGCTGAGCGAGTACCAAGAAATGAATGAAGGTCGAACATGATAGTGGGACAGGAGCAAGGTAAAAGTAAATAGAAGAAAGAACTAGGAGGAAAAAGACATTTATAGAGGTATGAACATAGGCATGCACATATGTAAATACATTAATGTATAATGATAGGGGAATAGATCTATGTACGTATATATTTATATGTTAAGTATCAGGTAGCAGATGGACATTGGTCCTGCCTCTACTCAAGTCCTCCTTCAACGAAGAACACTTTGTTCTAATAACCCGGCATTCTGTGATGCTCACCTTCCTGACATGATTACTGAAGACAAAATGGATGCATAGGCAAATGTGGTAAAGAAAGCTGATGATGCCTGGCTATTAGAAGATACAGTGTCTGGGGTCTTAAAGGCTTGAAGATAAACAAGCGACCATCTGGCAGGGAAGCAACAAAGCCCACAATGGAAGAAGCACACCAGCCTGTGTGATCATGAGGTGTTGACAGGATCAGGCATCAGGCATCAGAAGACCCAAAACAAACAATTAGAACGAGGCGAACAAGGGGGATCTTAGTAGTGACCCAAAGCCTATCTGTAGACAATTGGACAAGCCTTCACAGAAGCATCACAAGGAAGTGACGAGTCAACAACGGTGCAGTACAGCACTGACGAAACACACAACATTCCCCTGTTCTTTAATGCTTCCTCCTCCCCACTATTATGATCCCAGTTCTACCTTACAAATCCATCAAAATCAGAACATGTACGCTGGTAGAGATAAGAGCTCTCACACATCGAATCCAGGACACATAAATCCCCACATCCCCCAGAAACAGTAACGGGCGTAGCGATACCATGAGGGTGGGGAGAAGGTGTAGGAAGAAGAGGTATAAAGGGGGAAACCAATCACAATGATTGACATATAACATCCCCCCGGGGTGGGGGCAGGTAATACCAGAAATATGGGTGAAGGGAGACAGCCGAAAGTCTAAGATATGAAGATAATAATTTATCATTTCTCCAGGAGGGTGGGGAAGGAAGGGAATAATAAGGAGCTGAAGTAGAAAGAAAATGCTCTGAAAATGATGATGGCAACCTACGTACAAATGTGCTTGATACAATTGTGCTGTTCTAAGAGCTGTAAAAGCCCCCAATAAAATGATTTATTAAAAAATGAGGAAACCACACTTAATTTCAATCCAATGTTCTTTTCAATACATTTCAAAAAGGGCATGAGAATTTCTGCTTCTTGCCACAATACAGTAACAAGAACCAGATTTATCCTTCTGCCGTCAATTACAAGGAAACCCAGTGAGAGGTAGGAAACAATGATGCTCAGGCATTCACAAAGTCAGCTCAGTGCAGTGATCCTGAGAGCGGGAAACAGCCATCACTCCAGCCGTAGCCCAGGGAGGGAAAGCCCAAACAGAGCCTCCCAATGTCAAGGAGTTGTAGATACAGGGTTTAGATCCGAGGGAAGCCAAAGTGGTTTAAATCTGAGGGAGAAAGCACAGGGCCAGAGAGAGTTGTGCATGGAGGGAGCTCCACAGATCTGGGTGTGCTTCTGAGGAAATTAACCTTGAGGCCAGAAAAAGAAAGGAACGGAGCTGGGAAGATGAATCTGGTCCTTGTTAGTCTACTACGGCATGAAGCACACATTCTCATCCCAGTTTGGAAATGATCAGGTGTCGAGCAGATGCTTAGTCTGGGGCTAATTTGGCCCCATGATAAGGCAAGACTTGATGCCCTCGTTAGTCTGCCTGCCTGAAATAGCTAGATCCCAGTAAAACATATCGAACAATGATTTTTCAACCGCTAGACGACAGAGAGCCCAGTGCAGACAGGCCGAGGGAGCAGAGTGGAGAGTACAGAAATTGCCCTATAAATGCATGGTCAATTGCTGATCAATAAAGATTTCAAGACATTTTGGACATGAAAAGTTTCCCTGCCGAAGGGTATTAGGTCAGCTAGACATCACTGTGGAAAAAAGAGAAGCAACTCTTACTTTATAGCAGAATCAAAAATTAATAGAGGAGCGCAGGCATAAATGTACGAGCCAAAACTGGCCAACTGGAAAAAACCAGGAGAAAACTGTTTGTGGCTTTGGTTTAGACAAAAAGAAATATTAAATAGGGCATAAAACACATAAAAGAGAAAGGAGAAACTCGATCAACTGGAATAAAACCATGAAACTTTTGTTCTTTAAAAGACATAAGAAAATGAAAGGGCAAGCCAGAGACCAGGGAAAAATGATTACAGTGCACAAGTGGGGCCAGGGCTTGTAATGCTGGAGGATGTTAACAACGTTTCCGTTCATGCTAGGAAGCCAAAAAACTCAATTTTTTTTCCTAGAGAAAATTATTAAATACTCGCTTCACTAGTCAATATGTACAAATGACAAATGATCAACATAAGGAATAAGAAGAAAGGAAAAGCATTTCCAAAGATACTTCACATGAATTTTTCAAAACCAAAATAAACCAAGCCCATTGCCACAGAGTCCATTTTGACTCCTGGCAAACCCATGTGCCGGAGTCCAATTGCTCTACTCGTCGTTCTTGGCTGTAATGCTTTTCAAAAGCAGAGTGTGGTAGACGCTTCTTCCAAGGTGAGTCCAGCCAGCCATCCTCAGGCTAGCAGTTCAACACTAACTTTACGAACCAAGAGGCCTTTTAACATCACTAGTCATTAGGGAAAAACAAACTTACAGCCACAATCCACTATCATTACATACATACTGGAATGGCTCTCATTAAAAAGACTGATGAAACCAAGTTTTGACAATGACGTGGACAACTAGATTTCCCACACATTGCGACTGGTCATAGAAAAGAGTATTTATAATATCAGTATCTAAATATAGTACCTCTAATCACCTTGATGACTGAGGGTCTATTTTTTGTTTTTGTTTATACTATAACCAAGCAAGGAGGAGTGATTTGGAACATAAATGGAAAGGGAGAGAAAAAAAAGAATGAAAAAAGTATTACAAACAATGAGAGAAGCAAAAGGTTATAATACAATATGTGGAAATTATACCTACAAACAATAGTCATTTTGAAAAAAATAAAGGAAAAGAACACCCTATTTAAAATGCTTAAGCATTAATTGACCAAAAATGTATAAAACCTAAATGTGGAAGAACTTGAAAAATTTTTTAAACATACAAAAGATAATCAACTGGAAAGACGCCTATTTCTTTAATAAAAAAGTTCAGTATTGTATAAACGTACATTGTTTCTAGGTGAATACATACTTAATGTGAACCTAATCAAAATATTATCAGGCAATTTTTTTCATACAGTAGGACAAATTAATTATAAAGTTTCTTTTGAAGAGTAAGCAAGAATAACCAGTTTAGAATATTCTTCTTTTGAAGAGTAATCAAGAATAACCAGCAAGCATAATTAGGTTAAATTTACTTAACCTAATCTACATAAATAAATGAATAATTTCAAATATAGATAAAACTGAAGTATAAAACAAAATAAAATTTTTAAAAGATAGCACAGAATAATATTTTCATGGTCACAATGTAAGGTAATGTTTCCTAATGGAATATAAAAAGTACTAACTATGAAGACTGAAATATCTTACTAAAGTCAAGAACTTATACTCATCAAGACATATTAAACAAATAAAAATGCAAAATTTCCTGCAAATCAACAAAGCACACACACAAAACAGACAATAAACATGTAAACATATTTTTAAATAAGTTCAATATTAATGACTCAGACAATGTTAATTAAAATCATAATGAGATATCACTACACAAAAAACGGGTTAAAAAAACCTGATAATAGCAAGTGCTGACAAGGAAACAGTACAACTTGAACATTCATACACTGCTAAGGTGGCATAAATTGGAAGAACTACTTTGGAAAGCAGCTTGGTGTTATCCACGAAAGCTTTAAAACATACATACTATAAACAATTCCACTTCTTGGGATATACCCAACAAAAATGCAGACATATAACAATCTAAGAATACATGAACATTAGAATAGAAAATAAACTGTGATACCATCATATAAAAAAGATACACTCACATATATTGATATAGGAAAGTGAGTGAGCTACAGCTACATGCCACCACATGAATCTCACAAGCAAACTCTGAGCGAATAAAGAATTGATAGCTCACAGCAGACTGATGGGGAAAAGACTGAAATGTTTTCCTCTAAGATCAGGTACAAGGTGAATATGTCCAATCTTACCACTTTTAACCCACATTCTTTTGACATTCTATCCAAAGAAAAAGAAATAAAAGGCTTCTCAATTAAAAATAAATAAATAATACCATCTCTACTTGCTGATGGCATAATGTTATATATTAAAAAACCTGAGATTCACTAAAAAAGATCTATTTGAAGCACAAAGTGAATTCAGCAATGTAGCAGGATGTAAGATCAATTTTATTTCTATATACTAGAAATACATAATAAAAAACAAATTAAGAAAACAATCCAGCAAAAAGTAGAAAATTCAACAACATAAAAAAAAAGCAGACATACACTGGAAATTATAAAACATTGGGGGAAGAAGTTAAAGAAGATCTAAATATATGGGAGGACAGCCCATGTTCAGGGATCAGAAGAGTAATTAGTAATGTTGCAATATTCCCCAAATTGATCTACATGGCCAACACAGTCAAAATCTCAATAGTTTATTTGAAGAAATTAATAAGCCAATCCTAAAATTCATAGGGAAGTATAAAAGACCCTAAAATAGCAACACAATAATGAAATAAAAGAATAAAGTCGATTTCAAAGTTAGCTACAAAGAGTAATTAAGACAGAGTAGTACCGTCACGAGGGCAGCCACACAAGATCAATGAGATAGAACTGAAAGTTCAAAAACAAACCTCACAATGAGGTCAACTGATTTTCCTTCTTAAAGCTTAACAATTATATTTTCGCTTATTGTTTTAAACATTTTATTGTGAGTTGGGTAAAAGTTTACAGAGCCAATTCGTTCTCCATTCACTAATTCATACACATCTTGTTTCGTCTCACTGATTTCGAGCCACGTAATGTAACATCTCACTTTCTCCACTAGGAAACATCTCCCTGTTTCCCGTTTCCACTTTTCTTTCGTTCCCAACCCTTCCTGCCTTAATGTTATCTTGGGGAAATGCTTCCCTTTTTCATCTCAAAGGGTTGATTATTCTAGGGAGTAAGCACATTCCTAATATTAGTGTTCATCTTGGTCCATTATTTGGATGAAAATCGAGCTACGGGGCAAGTGGAGTTCTAGGTCTGAAAGGTGACCAAGGACCATCGTCTTGGGGGTTACACCAGCTTCTAGCCAACCAGCAAGCCAGGTCTTTTTCATGGTTTTGAGTTCTGTTCCACATTTCTCTCCTACTCTATCCAGCTGTTAAGTGATTTCAACCAAGGTACCAAGATAATTCAATAGGATAGGCATAGTCTTTTCAGCAAAAGGAATGGGGACAACGGAATAGTCACACACACACACACACACACACACACACGAAAGTGGATCCTTGTAAAACTTAATTCAAAATAGACCATGGACTTAAGTGCAAGATCTAAGACCATAAAATTCTTAGGAGAAAACAGTAATAAATACTTGTGGCCCTGGGTTAAGCCACTGTTTCCTGGATACAGCACCCAAAGAACAAGCAACGTAAGAGGAAAATGAATAAATCGGATTTTGTCAAAATGAAAACTTTTGTGCTTCAAAGGACACCACGATGAGAGTAAGAAGACAACCCACAACATGGCACAAAACACTGGCACGTCATATATCTGACCAAAGATTTTTAGCACGAGCATATAAAGAATTCTTACAACTTGTGCTGATGGAGTTTATGTGTCAACTAGACGGTGGTGCCCAGCTGCTTTGTCAAACATTCCTCTAGAACAGTGGTCGGCAGACTGCGGCTTGCAAGCTGTCTGAGGCTCTTTTGGTACGTGCATGGCACTGAAGTGAAATTGAAAACGATGATAAAGTTATCAGTTTCTTTTAAAGGATATTATTCAGGGAATGGTGATTTCATTTGTGTGTAAAAATAGATTTTCAGCTCTTGAATTTTTAAACTGTTGTGAACACTTCTGTCTCAAAAGTTTGCTGATCCCTGATCTAGAATATGCTGTTATGAAGTAGTTCTATGTGACTAAAGCTGTTGGCCTAAAGGAGTTTGGGGACCTATGGCCTAACATAAAGGCTATCCTACCCCTGGGGTTTGGAGAAGGGGTGGGTGGCACCCTGGAATGATGGCAGGAGGGGCGACAAAAGCAGATAATTAAGAAAACTTTATCCTGGATTATGAGCTACGGTACAAAATTTTTAATTTAAAAGAGATGGGGTGCTGAGTAATTTCCGCCCCCTAAAAACGAGGTGGTAGGCCAAATAAGTTTGAGAACCTATGGTCTAAAATAAAGCCGATTACCCCCCCACCCCCACCCCCATGGTGTAGGTAGGCCTCACTCAATCAGTTCAAGGCCCTAAGAGCAAAAAAGAAATTTTCCTCTGGACAATCTATACACTTTACCAGAACCCCTTCAGTCTTTACTCTTTTTGTTTGTTTGTTTTTCCAAAGCCATTTTATTGGAAGCGTTTATGAATATCACACCGTTCCACAGTTCAGTCACAACAAGGAGCAGTGTGCTCTTCTTGCCACCTCAAGTGGATTTTGTGACAAAAATTGCAGGGATCTTTTCCCAATTGCCTGAGCAACAGATCTGGGGGCACAACACTGATGAAAAAGACTGAC